AGCGCTGTACATGCAGTGCTCATATCACCGCATAGCGCTGTACATGCAGTGCTTATATCACCGCATAGCGCTGTACATGCAGTGCTTATATCACCGCATAGCGCTGTACGTGCAGTGCTCATATCGTCGTGGCGGGTGACATTTCGTTGATTTACATCGTTTATTACAGCCCCCAATAAATTCTCCCGTCCTCGAGATAAGAGGCACAGGAAACGATCGGCAACACTTGCTCAGTACTCTACTGCGTCGGCAATAATCTCAACGATGGATGTCGCTACATGAATGTGTCTCGTGTGTCACACGTGAATGCCCTTTCTCTTCTCGTAGCCTTCACGTGATTATCACGTGATGGCCGTGTCCGTGTGTGCGCCTTCCGGGTTGTTGTCGCGTCAAATGACTGCCTTGTATCCTTCATGCAAAGAAAACGCAATTGCCTTGTTCATTTCTCTGAACGTCGCGAAAATAAAAAACTATTGGTACAAATTCGTCGCAAACACTATTTCTTCTGGAATATGAGATGCAACGTATAACAACCACCGCTGAAACCTGCATCCACACACACCACCGTCTCCCCTGCCAGCAGGATTTAAGGTTCCTACGGCTGGTTTAACGCAAATGGCCACCAGATGGCAATGATGCGTGCTGTCGATAGTTACGTCACCGCTAAATTACCGCGACCTCTTCATACTAATCACGTTCAACTTGAGATGGCGCGAGACGCAAGAGTCGGACGCTGTACACGTCATAAGCAGATGTGCAGTATAGCCTGCAGTAATCGTCAGAGAGAAGCCCAGGCCCTCGTCCTCGCTGTGAAGGGAAACCTTGAGACCATAGCTTGAGACTGCCGCGACGAAGCGCCCTCTATATAACCCTGGACGAAGCGCCCCCTATAACCCTGGACGAAGCGCCCCCTATAACCCTGGACGAAGCGCCTTGTCGACAGCACGCAGGAAAGGTTAGTGGCATGCGCGACGAAAGGGAGAGAGCAAGAGACAGAGAGCAAGAACGTGAGAGAGAGAGAGAAGGAGCGAGAGATGGAGAAAGCGAGACAGAGAGCAAGAACGAAGAGAGAGAGAGAGAGAGAGAGAGAGAGAGAGAGAGAGAGAGAGAGAGAGAGAGAGAGAGAGAGAGAGAGAGAGAGAGAAAGAGAGAGAGAGCAGAAGCGAGAGATGGAGAAAGCGAGACAGAGAGAAAGCGAGGGAGAGCAAGAGAGAGAGAGAGAGAGAGAGAGAGAGGGAGGGAGAGAATGAGCGAGAGACAGGGACAGCGACAGACAGAGAGAGAGAGAGAGAGAGAGAGAGCGATTCGCTTGGACAACGCAAACAAAAAAACGCGCAGCGGGAAATTTCGCGCGACCATAAACTAAGAGCGACGGCATTCTGCGTATTCGATAAGAGTTGACAGCCGCTAACGAACGATTCTCCGCACTGCTGCAGGTTGCGACGTTGCCTGCGGACGTGGGGCGAGTGCCGTGAGACTGTAGCAGCAGCAGCTCTCGCACTCGACCATAGCAAACGCGATGAAGTTTATTCGCACATGCTGTATATTTTACAACTCCCATAAGCCCTTAATTTATGTGCTAGAGGCTAATAAAACACCCACGCTTAACTGTAACCTTGACCCAACCGTATATTTACCTATAACATTGAGTCAAACCCTCATTCTAATACGCTTAGCTGTGACCACCGTGGGCCTAACCCTAACCCTAAAAAAGAATTAACGGCGTTGTCGCCTTAATTAAACCACTGCAAACATTTCTGGGCTCACCAACCTTCGACCTAAACCCATTTAATTTTCATTAATCGTAGCATCTCTTTCCAGCGGGGACACTTCACCATTATGTAGGAGCTAGGGCTACACCCATGTTGTATATAAATTCCAGTGCTAACGTACGTGCGATGTGCGAGTTATGCGTTATGATGTTTGCTAATCAGGCGTCTTACCTCAACATCTACGTCATTGGTAATGACGCACACACGTGCACGTACGCGCAGCACACACACACACACACACACACACACACACACACACACACACACACACACACACACACACACACACACACACACACACACGACACACACACACACCACCACCACACACACACACACACACACCACACATAACACACACACAGAACGCACACAACACACACAACACACACACACACACACACACACACACACACCACACACACACACACACACACACAGGAACGCACAAACACGAGACATCCATGTGCATGAACCGGATTCCCTGAATCTCAGCAAAGGCGCACGTGAAATTCGCCATAAGAATATACATAGAGCTGGTTTATAATATATATATATATATATATATATATATATATAATAATTACTGCGGTGTTAAGGTAACGACCGCATGATTTCCCCTCGGACTCCCTCGTCTCAGCGGCGTTCTCATGTATTATGCTCTTCCTCCTTATACATATTATAATTGCGTGTGTAAGCATGTGTGCTTGTGGGCGTGGGCGCGCATGAGCTTACTAAGAACGTAGCAGATATAAAACTACTCAGTCTATGAAAGTTTGAAGGTTGAAGCTACCCGCTATCATTCAATTGCCTTCGCGTCTCATCCCTTCTTTCATCTTTTCTCTCGTGTTAACAGAAAACCATCAGCAACAACAACACCTGCAGCAGTACCACTACCACAACTACCGCCAGCAGCAGCAGCGGTAGCAGTAGGCAGCGCAGCACAGCAGGCAGCAGCAGCAGCAGCAGTAGCAGCAGCAGCAGTACCACTACCACCACTACCGCCAGCAGCCAGGCAGCAGCAGCAGCAGCAGCAGTACTACTACCACACTACCGCCAGCAGCACAGCGGTAGCAGTAGCAGCCGCAGCAGCACCAGTAGCAGCACCCGCAGCAGCACCCAGTAGCAGCACCCGCAGCAGCAGCAGTATCATACACCACTACCGACAGCAACAGCAGCGGCCGCAGTACCACTATCACCACTACCGCCAGTAGCAGCAGCAGCAGCAGCAGCAGTAGCAGCAGCAGGCAGCAGTAGTAGTAGCAGCAGCAGTAGTAGTAGTAGTAGCAGTAGCAGCAGCAGCAGCAGCAGCAGTAGTAGCAGCAGCATGAGCAGCAGCAGTAGCAGCAGTAGTAGTAGTAGCAGCAGCAGCAGCAGCAGCAGTACCACTTCCACCACTACCGCCAGCAGCAGCAGCAGCAGCAGCAGCGCCACTACCACCACTACCGCCAGCAGCAGCAGCAGCGCAGCCGTAGCAGCACGCAGCAGTAGTAGTAGTAGTAGTAGGCAGCAGCAGCAAGCAAGCAGAGCAGTACCACTACCACCACTACGCCAGCAGCAGCAGCAGGCAGGCCGTAGCATCAGCAGCAGCAGCAGCAGCAGCAGTAGTAGTAGCAGTAGCAGCAGCAGCAGCAGTAGTAGTAGTAGCAGCAGCAGCAGCAGTAGTAGTAGCAGTAGCAGCAGCAGCAGCAGTAGTAGTAGTAGTAGCAGCAGCATCAGCAGCAGCACGATCGCCACATTCGCCTACTTCCACCTTGTCGAACCACTGACAGACAGTTCGTTTGTGAGGGAGTCTTTGACCTTTTGGTACGCTGCAGTAAAACTGCACTCAGACTCGCTCGTTCTCGACAGCAGTTAAATATTTTACGGCGTTGTCTATATATACGGCAGACGCGCAGCGCTCGTAGCAGGACGGCGGCGGAAGCGTCGTCACGTGACGCGCGCACGCGCACTGTCGTCTGCTAGTAGTCCTCCTGACAGCATCATAACTATAGTAACGGGTCGCCGCCGTTATTAACGGCTATGTTTAGCCGTCGCTGGAGGATATAATAAATATATATATATGAGTGTGTGTATATAATATATGTATATAGCAATATAAGCAATATCAGTCTAGCCGTGAGTAGGTCAGGGGTGAGGTAATGACCACTAGAACTCGGTCATGGCAATACGGGGCCATGTTCATCGATCGATACGCAGCTATGAGTAGGCAGGATGAGGATGACCACTACATCGTCATATGCGCAGTTATATTGTTATATCTCAATGTCGAGCCTAACCCCACACGCGCGGCTAACGACAACAACTCGCAAACGACGTCGGCGGCGCATGCGTCATCCACTATATATGCTGTGTGTGTGTGTGTGTGTGTGTGTGTGTGTGTGTTGTGTGTGTTGTTGTGTGTGAGTGTGTGTGTGTGTGTGTGTGTGTGTGTGTGTGCGCGCGCGTGTGTGTATGTGTGTGTGTGTGTGTTGCGTGGCGGCGCGTGTGTGTGTGTGTGTGTGTGTGTGTGCGTGGCGCGCCGTGTGTGTGTGTTGTGTGTGTGTGTGTGTGTGTGTGCGCGTGTGTGATGTGTGTGTGTGTGCGTGGCGCGCCGCATGTGTGTGTGTGTGTGTGTGTGGTAGTGTGTGTGCGCGCGTGTGTGTTATGTTGTGTGTGTGTGTGCGTGCGTGCGTGTGTGTGTGTGTGTGTGTGTGTGTGTGTGATGTTGTGTACAGTGTGTGTGTGTGTGCGTGCGTGCGCCGTGTGTGTGTGTGTGTGTACGTGTGGTGTGGTGCGTGCGTGCGCGCGTGTGTGTGTGTGGTGTGGGGGGGGGGGGTGTGTACGTGTGTGTGTGTGCGTGCGTGCGCGCGTTGTGTGTGTGTGTGTGTGTGAGTGTGTATTGTAAGATGTGAGCATGCGATGTATAGGGGCGCTGCTGCTGGTGTGCCGTACCTGGGAAGAATCGGTGAGCGTAGAGCGCTATCAGACTATCCATCGCTGTCGTGTTTGCCTTTGATGTGATCGAACAGACGCGCCACAGTCCCGCGACGAAATACGTCAACATCTGCGGATCTTCGACACCAGTCGCTGCCACCATCTCGGCTGGCGTGAGAAGGGACGCGGGCAGGAACTTGTCCTTTACTTTGACCTGCATATAGCGGCAGAAGTCAGTCGCGATGACGTCATAACGACCGGAAATTGGCTGTCGTGATGGCGCTGCACTTGCGTGCATAATGGTGTCAGCTAATGAAATACAAAATACTAATAATTAAAGTCGTTCTCTCTCTTTCGCTCTCTCTTTCTCTCCTCTCTCTCTCTCACTCTTACTCTCTCTCTCTCTCTCTCTCTCTCTCCTCTCTCTCTCTCTCTCTCTCTCTCTCTCTCCTCCTCTCTTACTCTCTGTCTGTCTCTCTCCGTAACACTCAACACACAAATTAAAATAATCTGAACGCATTATCTGTTCTAACCTCTAAAACTTCTGCCCCTTATTAATACCCAATCACGATCGCAATCGCTCGCTATGACCTTGCGCCTAGACGTGCCCCTCGCCGCGCACCAGTGGGCATATTGTAGCGGTGACACCACGCCGCCGGACCAGTCTATGACGCCGGCCTATCTCGGTGCTGTCGTGCACATGCGCCGCCATCACTTGCAGCGATAGGAGCGCTGCTAGTAGTTGCCGTAGCGGTGGCGCGTGGCCGGCGGCTGCGGCAGCGGCACGTGGTGGCGGTGGTGATGGCAGCGGTGGTGTGCGGCGGTGGTGGTGGCGGTGGTGGGTGGTGGTGGTTGGTGGTGTGATGGCGCGGTGGTGGTGGTGTGGGCGGCGGTCGGTGTGGCGTGGTGGTGGTGTGGTGGTGGTGGTGGTGTGATGGCGGCGGCGTGTGGTGGTGGTGTGGCGGCGGTGGTGATGCAGCGGTGGTGGCGGCGGCGGTGGTGGTGGTGGTGGGTGTGGTGTGTGGTGGTGGTGGTGTGGTGGTGGTGGTGGTGTGTGTGTGGTGTGGTGTGGTGTGGTCTGTGGCGTGGTGGTAGCTGCGGTGGTGAGTGGTGGTGTGGGGTGGTGGCTGGTGTGGTGGTGGTGAGGCAGTGGTTGGCGCAGCGGCGGTGGTGGCAGTGATGGTGGTGGAGGTGGTGGTGCAGCGATGGTGGTGGAGGCGGTGGTAGCAGCGATGGTGTGGTGGTGGTGGGGTGGTGGCGGTGGTGCGGCTGGTGGCAGCCGGTAGTGGTGGTGGCAGTGGCGGCGTGGTGGCAGCAGTAGTATTACGTGTTGCGGACTAAATTATTCGAGACACGGCTTATAATTAGTAGGCTGATTCGTGAGCGATATCGAACACGGAATAATTCATCGATAGATTAAGCTCGCACGGCCGCATGCATTAAAGTGAGCGGCTGCTTTACACGAGCGAGCACAGACGGTTATATGGCTCGCCTAATAACCACGCCACCAGCGCCGCCGCCACGGCGCAAGCAGACAAACGACACTGATAATGATGACGAGATTATTATTATTGGTCCATAATAATAATATTATTATTATATATATATAATATATATATATATATATATATATATATATATATATACAATCCTGGTTAGAAAGGAGAAGGTAGGATAGGGAAAACGTGGTTGAAGTAGATGAGGTGACGGAAGGAGAATGTCTGAGGAATGAGCGAATGAGCTGTAGGAGAGTGAACAGGCAGAGTAAGGGCAGATGGTGGCAGAAAGGTAGAGGTAGATGGTGGCAGAAGGTAGAGGTAATCGGGCAGAAGGTAGAGGTAGATGGTGGGCAGAAGGTAGAGGTAGATGGTAGTAGAACGTAGAGGTAGATCGTGGCAGAAGTATAGAGTAAGATGGTGCAGAAGGTTAGAGGTAGATGGTAGTAGAAGGTAGAGGTAGATGTAGTAGAAGTGAGAGTAGATTGGTGCAGAAGGTAAGGTATATCTTCTATAGCTAGTCAGCATGCTACGTCCTACCGTCTCGGCCATCTCTATCGCAGATGTCCGTACAAACAGCCAGGATCATCAGCATCGATGACACGACAGACAGGCGACGGCAACTATCGTCAACGTTCTTGTTGCACTGCATTTCCATTAAACTCGCCGCCAGGTACTTCATCGCTATCTCACCAGAGCTTTCGTCCCGTGATCAGCTGCTTCACTGTATCCAACTTTAGCAACCAAGTAATGGCAGAGTTGCCATGGAAACAGAAACAAAGCACAGCAGCGCATCGGGCCGAACGAGATCGTTGATTGGTCATCGTGATCCAGATCACGTGAAACAACGTGTCGTATTTATCAACCAATTGCATTGTCACGTGTCGATTTGTCATGACGTCAGTGGGAACGCTACGCACGCGTGCGTGCGGTCTGATAGTATAGTGCTACCGTGTAAGACGTTGCGAATTATTCTTCGGTCAGGTGATTTGAACGTCGTTGCTGCTTTGTTGTCGTTAGCAACGCGGTCGTGTATCACGACTGTTTTGATGACGCTGTGTCACGTGATGAACTGTTAGACGCCGGCGGCTTCACAAGGCAGCGGACTAGGCACTGCTTGGTCGTGAGCAGTAGATGAGTAGTCGGTAGTTAGTAGCGATGGCTTTATGCAGTGTGGCCTCATAACTTGCTCGCCATCGGGGTGACTCACGCCTTGCGTCCTCTATTGGCAGGTCGCAGTTGAATTAGCAATCTCTCTCTCCTTCTCTCCTCTCCTCTCTCTGTCTCTCTCATCTCTGTCTCTCTCTCTCTCTCTCTCCCTCTCTCTTTCTCCTCTCTTCTCCTCTCTCTTTCTCCCTCTCTCGCACTTCTTTCTCTCTCGTCGCTCTCTCGCTCATCTCGCTCGCACCTTTCTTTCTTTCTCTCGCCTCTTTCTCTCTCTCTCTCTCATCTCTTCTTCTCTCGCATTCTTTCTCTCTCTCGCTCCTCTCTCTCTCTCTCTCTCGCTCTGCTCTCTCTCTCTCTCGCTCGCTCGTTATGCGCCCGCCCTCTGTTTTCTTTTTTCACCTCCCGCTCTTTCTCTGACCCCTCACTCTCTCTCTCTCTGCCTCTCGCTCTCTCTCTCTTCTAACCTTTCTCTCTCCTCCTTCCACTTTCTTTCTCTCTCCTCCTTCCCTCGCCCTTTCTCTCTCCTCCTTCCCACTTCCTTTCTCTGCTCTCCTTTCCCTCGCCCTTTCTCTCTCTCTCTTCCTCGCCCTTTCTCTTTCTCTTCCAATTTCTATTCCACACGCAGCGCTCGTTTGTTACTGGACCTCAGCGTGTGTGTGAATTGTCCGATCGGTGGTAGAGGATGACGGAGCGGCTGTGTACGCGGAGGGAGTCGATGAACGACACGCGGCCGGGGGTGAGGCGTTATCTCTCTCTCTCAACGGCTCAGCGGCTCCGGCGCGCGAGAACAATTAAGCGCACGTGCGACCGTACGATGCGGTGACGGTGACGGCGGCAACGTCCCTCGCGGCCGACGGCTGTTGAATCGGAAAAAGGCTGTATCTCAGACGTACGGGTTAAGTCGTGGTGTGGTTAGCGGCGGCGTGCTAGTGCTCATGACCACACTACACGCTGACGGCTCGCAGTCTAGTCTTGGTTATGTTATCGTATTTTAGTAGTAGCGGATGCCTATCATCAACGTTGTCGCCCGTCGGCAGCGCGGTTTCTCCAACGGCGTTCATTGTCGTTGGAAAGAAAATGCGTGCATCGGATCGGTAGCGCGCGGCGTCTGCTCTCGTGACGTCACTGGCACCACGT